ACGACTTCAATCTTTAGTTTGAGGGTCGATTCAAAACTGAATCGGCCGATTCAAGTTTGAATCGGACATATTTCATCATTATATTGGATCCCGCTCTTTAGGACTTTTTGGCGAGCAGGATTTAGGGAATAGGCGCTGAAGTGGGGAGCATCCCAAAGCTTAGTTCCCAAATCCTATTTTCTAAGGGAGCCCAAACCTTATCGCTAAGGCTTTAGCGTTAGCGAGAAGATTTATTGAGCAAGGTGGGCTTTTGTATGAGTTAGGGGGGGGGGTCTCATTTTTGGGGTTTTAAGGCTATTTTTTAGGTTCCCTCTTTAGGATTTGGTGACTCCCTCCCACCCCCCCTTCCCCAATAGGATTTAGGGAGTAAAATTAAGAGAATAAGATTGAGGGATCCTTCTTTGTTGACTTTAGCGATAAGATCTACTGAGCAAGGTTCTTTGTTTTATGATGTAGAAGGAGAGGCTCATTTTTAAGATTTACAGTAAGGATCCCCCTCTTTAGGACACCCCTCTTTAAGGCTTAAGCAATAGGATTTAGAGAGTAAAACTAAGGGAATGCTTTTTAGGATTTAGGGGACCTCCTCTTTAGGATTTAGCCCCCCCCCCCTTTAGGCGGCCTTAGCGAGTTAATTTCAGGGAACCAGATCTAGGGATCCCGATAAGATTTTATCCGAGCATCTGTTTAATTGGTGGGACCCCCGGCCCACCGCAATAAGTAAGAAAGGCAGGGCACTGCAATAATGAGACCATGGCAATGTATGCATTCTCTATTAAGCACATTAGGAATATATTGTAGTTTCGACGATCCAGACTGCAGCTCAGAAATCAAAAACGAAGCCTGCAGACAGATTTTTGAACACCCCCGGAAAATATTCTTTCAATGTGGCGGTATTTTCCCATACGGAAACCCCCGTAATGGAAAGCAGTCTCACAGCCGGATTTTCGACGAAAAATATTTCTTTAAATGTGGAGGTAGTAATTCTTTGAGAATGCAGCGGCTCTCCTCTTCAGAAGTTCAAGACTTCCCTCTTTAGGGCTTTTAAAATCATGGGAATATGATTTAGGGACCCCGCTCTTTAGGCTTTAGCGAGAAGACTTAGTGAGCCATTTAGTGACCCACGGCCCCCCCGCCCGCCCGCCCCAGAATAAGGGACTGAGGGAATATGATTTAGGGAATACGATGTAGGGATCCCGTGCTTTCGGACCTAACGAGCAGGATTTTGGGAACAGGCTTCATTTTTTCGGAAATAGGGGTTTATGCAATGGAAAATTGTGCGAATATGGTTAAAGGATTTAGGGAGTCGGTCTCTTTTTTGAAGCGTTTTGATGTCACGCAAGTGTAGAAAATTAGAAAACGGTAGGTTTTGGAGGGGGGGGTAGCATATATATATATATATATATTTATTTATTTATTTATTTATTTATTTATTTATTTATTTATTTATTTATTGTTTTATTTATTTATTTATTTATTTATTTATTTATTTATTTATTATTTATATATGTATATATATATATATATTTATATTTATATATTTATTTATTTATGTGGGGTCCACTATTTTCATAAACCCCAGATGCGTTGGATGGTTTGGTTTTGACTTTTCGCGCGAAGTGCTTCTTGGCCGAACATGCTCCCTCCTCGGCTCAAGATGATAGCTGTCACTTACGCCCTAAACCCTAAACCCTAAACCCTGAACCCTAAACCCCAAACCCTAAACCCTAAACCCTAAACCGGTATGCTTTCTCCTCTTTGGGTCCTTGGTTGGCAGGCTTGCCCAGCGGCTGGCTGATGGCTCATCTTTGTGGCCATCCGCTATTTGGAGGCTGCCCGACTGCAAAGTACGAGAGACGCTAGACCCAAGAGCAACCTAGGAATTAACCCTAAACCCTAAACCCCTAAACCCTAAACCCCTAAATCCCTAAACCCCTAAACCCCTAAACCCCTAAACCTAAACCCCTAAACCCCTAAACCCCTAAACCCCTAAACCCCTAAACCCCTAAACCCTAAAAAACACCTAAACCCCTAAACCCTAAAACCCCAACCCAAAACCCCTAAAACCTAACCCCTACACCCTAAAACCCTAAACCCCTAAACCCTAAACCCCTAAACCCCTAAACCCCTAAACCCCTAAAACCTAACCCTAAAACCCCTTAAACCCTAAACCCCTAAACCCTAACCCCTTAAACCCCTAACCCTAAACACCTAAACCCCTAAACCCAAACCATCAAACCCCTAAAACCCATAAACATGAACCCCTAAACCTAAATAACCCCTAAACCCCTAACCCTACCCCAAAACCCTAACCCCTTAAACCCCTAAACCCCTCTAAACCCTAAACCCCTAAACCCCTAAACCCCTAAACCCTAAACCCCTAAACCCCTAAACCCCTAACAACCCTAAACCCCTAAACCCCCTAAACCCCTAAAACCCCTACTAAACCCCTAAACCCCTTAACCCCTTAACCCCTTAACCCCTTAACCCCTTAACCCCTAACCCCTAAACCCCTAAACCCCTAACCCCTAAACCCCTAAACCTCTAAACCCTAAACCTTTTTTGGTTTGAAAGGGGCTACTCTGGGTCCTAGGACAGCTCCTGACCGTAAGGCCTAAGTCTAAAGCCCAAAGTCAAAGAAGCTGACCCTAAACCCTCAACCCTAGGACCCTGAAGGGTTTAGGGTTTAGGGTTTAGGGTTTAGGGTTTAGGGTTTAGGGTTTAGGGTTTGGGGTTTAGGGGTTAGGGTTTCGGGTTTAGGGTTTAGGGTTTAGGGTTTAGGGTTTAGGGTTTCGGGTGTCGGGTTTAGGGTTTAGGGTTTCGGGTGTCGGGTTTAGGGTTTAGGGTTTCGGGTGTCGGGTTTAGGGTTTAGGGTTTAGGGTTTAGGGTTTTGCAGCATCCTCCACCTCAAATCATCCAGAATTGGTTTGCCAGGTCAACGGACATCTTCACGTTGTCGAGATGGCTCGAGATATAGAAGTCGCAGGCCGTGATGGCGTCGAATACCTTTCGGACAGCTTGTTGGCTGGTGACATGGGCGGGGGACCCGAACCCGCCTGAACCCTGACGCCTCTAATTGGTGCCCCCCCCCCCCCCCCCCTGAACTTTCAAGAATATGACAACACATTCTGATAGAGGCCCCCCCCGAGAAGGCCCCATAAGCTAGATGAACTCTCAGCCTAGGATTGGCATAGGGATCCCTGAAAAATGACAAGCACCATTGAAAACTGCCTTCACAATTTCGGGAACTGATTAGTTTAACTTATATATACTTCTTTGGGAGCTCCTGACACCCTAAACCCTAAACCCTAAACCCTAAACCCTAAACCCCGAAACCCCTACACTGCGAAAGCGGGTGCGGGTGTGCTGTTCTGAACCAGCGTTTGGTGCTTCGGGCGGAGGCTTAGAGTTTAAGGCTTGGGAATTGCCAGCCCTCAACCCTAAACCAGTAACCTTAACCTTTAGGATTTTAGTGTTTCGAGTTTGGGGTTTAGGGTTTGGGACTTTCAAGAATTCTGTGAGTCAGCAGCCGTTTCGCCCACACCGGGTAGGGGTCGAGCTTCTGCACGTTGGGCTTCCATAGTTCAAAAAGCTGTAAGTTTCAAAGAGTGTAGGGTTTAGGGTTTAGGGCTTAGGGTTTAAAATTTAGGGTTTAGGGTTTAGGGTTTAGGGTTCAGAGTTTAGGGTTTCGGGTTTCGGGTTTGGGGCTTGCCCCCTTGAACCCTATCCTCGCCATAAAACTGCACCAAGTGGCTGGAACACCGGTCACATGCCGCACGGCATCGGAGTAGGGCGGAAGCTCCGTGCATTCCATGAGGATGGCCCTGACCTCGAATCACAATTCTCAAAACATTTCACAATTTTGGGGGGCTTAGTGTTCTCGACTCCAAGAACCAAACACCAAAACAATAAACCCAAAACCCTAAACCCTAAAGACCCCTAAGCCCCAACGATTCGGGCTCGGTGACTTTGAAAGCCACATGTGTAGGGAAATTGGACCCTCTTGACACGGCACCTCCGCAGACCTGTAAGCGATTTACTTCCAGGAGAAGGCCCTGTGGGGTGCAGGACTTGGGTTGAGGGTTCAGGGTTGAGGGTTCAGGGTTCAGGGTTTAGGGTTTAGGGTTTAGGGTTTAGGGTTTAGGGTTTAGGGTTTAGGGTTTAGGGTTTAGGGTTTAGGGTTTAGGGTTTAGGGTTTAGGGTTTAGGGTTTAGGGTTTAGGAAGCTTCCGGGGCCCTTGGAGATTCAACTCAGGCTTTGGGGCCTGATGGGGGGGCGGGGGGGCTTAGGGTCTAGGGTTTGGGGCTTCGGTTTCTTCAAGGGGTCCCGGGATGCATGGATCCTAGCCGATGCTTCAAATTCCCAAAGCTTGCCTTCTGAAGGGTTTAGGGCTTAGGGTTGACGGTTTATTGAAATAATTAAGGGTTCAGGTCCGGGGAAAGTTTCGAGAAGTTTCGAGGAGCTTCGTTTTTTGGATTTTTCTTAATAATTTCAAGTTACAGGGGGCTTGAGGGTTTAGGATTTAGGATTTAGGGTTTAGGTTTTAGGGTTTAGGTAGAATCTCCACCCCAACCCTAAGCCTTAAACCTGTAGTCATCGAAATCACTGTCATACCCAATCGTTACACCCAACTCCCCGCTATCAGCCAACAGTAAGAAACCAGCACTCTTCATGCATACTATAGGGGTCGGAAAAATTACGAATAGTACTCTCTTCTAGTCCATATATTAATATACTCTAATAACCCTCAAAACCCTATATTACACATGCGATCGCTGAGCTTGCGACCTTCGGGTGAGCCTGGAGAACTTCCTGCGCTTTCTTGACCATGCCCGGCGTCACTTTGCGCACGTCCACCTGCGGAGCATACCCTGAACCCTAACCCGAAACCCCAAACTTCATGAACCCTAACCCTAAACCCTAAACCCTTAACCAAGCTAAGAATCCCAAACCCTGAGGTTGCGCGTTTGAGGCTGCATAACGCCGAAAAAACAGCGCGGACTTACGGATTTTTGCACCGCCCCCGCCTTCTCACCCAAGGCAACCGCCTCAAATCCGGGGATGTCTTCGCACCCCACGAACACGTAGCGGTCATCCTTTCTAGGAACGGGGCTGCGGTTTAGGGCTTCCATCACATGGTTCGCAGAGTCTCTTTTGGGAAGGGCTGCTCAGTTTGGGTGAAACCCGAACCCCTAAACCCAAAAACCCTAAACCCCAAACCCCAAACCCTAAACCCTAAACCCTACAAGTTCTTGCGGAGTTCTTTGCAGGGCTGAGCTTCCGACCCTATGCCCTTCATCACCAACCCGTTGCATGACAAAGTTGCGGTTTGTGGCGGGGGTAGGGTCGGGCAGGGTATGGGATTTCGGGTTTAGGGCTCGCCCTAAACCCTAACCCCAAAACCCTAAACCCTAAACCCTAAACCTCGAGGGGCCTTCAGGTCCACGGCACACTCTTCCTTGATCAGGCCTTCCATAGGCAGCAGCGACTTGCCGTTGGCCGTGAAGATCCTTAGGGTTTAGGGTTTAGGGTTTAGGGTTTAGGGTTTAGGGTTTAGGGTTTCGGGATTAGGGTTTAGGATTTAGGGTTTAGGGAGTAGGGATTAGGGCTTAGGGTTCAGGGTTCGGGTTTAGAGTTTAGGGATTTTGGCGCGGTCGTCTGGCGACCGCCCAAACGGGATTCAGGGTTCAGGGGTTAAGGTTCAGGGCTTAAGGTTTAGTATTTATTTAGGCGAAAGGGCTCAGGGTTCAGATTCAGGGTTTTGGGTTTAGGGATGATTACGGTTTCTTTAGAGTTCAGGGTTCAGGGTTTAGGGTTCAGGGCTCCCATTCTCCGAGCTTCGCAATCTGCTCGCCTTTGTGGAAGGAGTTGGTGATAGCGGGCAGTGTGGCCATCGAGGACATGATGACGGGGAGCTTGGTGTTCTTCCGGACGAGCTCCTGGTACCACATCCTGGGGCATAGGTCTTCTTTTGAGGTCGCCCGTCATACAATTCCCTTAAAGGGTAAGAATGCAGGGGGATATACGGTACCCGGGGAAAGGATTGTTAAAGGCATTAAAGGGTAACAATAGAGGGGGGAAAGGATTTGTCGCAAGTTGGGGCTTTGAGGCCGGGCTCTTACCCCCTCAAAAGCGCGCCGCCACAAGGCTTCCGGGCGTTTGTGAGTTCCCCATATCTACCCCCGCACCTAAGCCAAAGGAGACTGAAACGAAAACACTCCTAAACTCTCAAACCCTAAGCCCGAAGCCTGAAACATTTGCCTTATGCATAAACACAAGATCCGACGCCGTGCCTCAAGCTTAAACCGGCCAGAGAAAGGACCCGACCCTAAACCCTAAACTTGAACCCTAAGCCCAACACCCTAAACCCGAAACCCTAAACCCTAAACCCCAAACCCTAAACCCTAAACCCCCCCTACTCGGAGGCGCAGCTCGAGGCGCATGAAGCCGCAGTCGCCGGTGATGACGGAGACTCCCTTGGCCTCCAGGGCCTTGATCCCCTTGAGGAGCTCCGCCTTCAGAGGGTGGTTTGGGGTTTGGGGTTTAGGGTTTAGGCTTGAGGGTTGAGGGTTTAGGGTTTAGGGTTGAGGGTTGAGGGTTTAGGGTTTAGGGTTTAGGGTTTCGGGCCCAGGGCCGCCAGATATGGCCTCCACTTGGGGCGTCATCTTGCCCGACTGGCACAACTCGAAGGTCAGCCCGGGCACCATCTGGTAGTGCACTTCGTAGGCATAGCTGCCTGAGGTTGAACCCTCAACCCTAAACCCTAAACCCTAAACCCTACACCCTCAAGCCCTTGCAACTTGAAACTATTCATCAAAGCCTGACCTGAGCCCTTAATGGTTTCAAACAAAAACCCTAACCCTAAGCCAAACAACCTTGCTAAACCATCAGGCAAGTTGCACCTCAGGGCCTACTGCCTAAGCCACGAAGCCCTAAAGCCCCTAAAATCTATGGCCCCTAAATCCTGAACCCTAAACCCTAAACCCTAAACCCTAAGCCCTAAACCAACCCTAAACCCTAAACCCCTCAACTGAAGGCCACCACGCTTCAGGTCCTCCACCGCAGCGTGCCCCACCCCCCTTTTTAGGTCGAGGCCTTTTAAAGTTTAGGGCCTCGGAAACCTACATGCACCAAACAGACGAAAAAGAGCCCCTGACGATGTCGAGCACAAAGTGCTGCAAGCCGAGGCCCCACCATAGCCCTAAGTCGCAAGCCTTCACCCTTGTAGCCCCAAATCCTAAATCCTCAGCCCCACACCCTGTACCCCATGAGCTCCCCTGCCCCAAAATCCGACCCGAAGCCCTTGAAAGCCCTCTGAAAAAGACCGGGGTCCCCGCAAAGCCAAAATTCGAGTTCAAGGTTCAGGGCTCAGAGTAAGCCTGCGAAAACTCTGCTTCCGTCTAAACCTGGAATACCCAATGTGAAACGTGAACCCCCAAGCCCTCGACCCTATGCCTTAGGTATTTCCCTAAACCCTAGTTCCCTCAACTAAAACCCTAAACATCCCTAAACCCTACGAAGAACAGGAGGTCGACCACCCAGGCAGATTCCCCGACGGGCACCTGGGTGGTCCACGTCCCCAGGGGCTGGCTCATAGTGGTAGTCCTTGCCGGCGCAGGGCTTGCAGTCAACGTTCAGGTGGAGGGGGTGGACAAGGAGGGTTTAGGGTTTTGGGTTTAGGGTTTTAGGGACTTCGGGGGGTTCAGGGTTTAGGAAGTGTAGGGTCTAAACCCCGCACCCTCAACCCTAAGTCCTAAACCCTAAACCGCTCAGAGGGTGTCTGGGCTTTCGGGCAAAGGGTCACAGGGTCGAGTAGGGGCCAAAGCTCAGTGTAGTTGGGGTTTCGGGGCTCTAAGCCGCAAGCCATAAAGCCCAAACTTCCATTTTTTACGTTCTAGGGGGTTCGGGCTGGGGGTATGGCAGGTCCCTAAACCCTAACCAGTGGGGGGACGCGCGAAGCCCTTCAAGTTTGACCCTAAACCAAAAAACCCTATCTAAACCTCTCAACCCTAAACCCCAAACCCCCAACCCCAAACCACTAAGCGCCCGGTCCAAACGAATCACGCCCAGCTTGATGCCCTGGCGACGGCTTCGTGTCATCATTGACACCGCCTCAGGGACCCCAAACCCTAGCCCTAAACCCTAAACCCTAAACCTAAACCCTAGCCCTAAACCCGAAACCCTAACCCCTAAACCCGAAACGCCAAAGGCATGACCAATTTCAGTGGGGCCGCCAGGCGCTGGGTTCAAAGTTTAAGGAGGGTTTAGGGTTTGGGGGGGGGGTTATGGGTTTGGGGCTTAGGGAAGGTACAGGGTTTAGGGTTGCTAGGGTTGTTAAGGTGCAGGGTAAACCCAAGGCCGTAACTCCGTGGCCACCCAAAGACCCCCGAGAAACATCTAGAACTGGCAAAAGTATTGTATGAACAAGGTTGTTACTTGCAATACATACCTTCACATTCTCATATATGTACGAGATGCCTCTTGTCGTACCCTGGCATCTCTTCGTGGTTGACATCCAAGCGTGAAAGCTTCAGAGCTTAGAGGGCTTCGAGGACTTGGAGCGCTTAGAAGGCTAAGAAGGCTTAGGGGGCGTGGAGGGCTTTAGAGGGCTCATGTGGTTTACAGGATCTATCCGGTCTGGGTCTGTAGCGCCTGCAGGGTTTACAGGGGTCATTGGGGTCTTGGCTTTGTAGCCCTTGCGGCCGGCGGGACTCTTTTAGGCCTCCCTGCGTCTGAAGCCCTAAACGAGAAAGCCGAGAGAAAGGCTTGACACCCCTAAAACCCCAAAATCCAAAAACCCAAAAACCCACAAACCACATGAACCCATATAAACCCTAAACCCACGAACACCCTCAACACTAGAAACCAGTTCAAAGCCCCCCCCCCCCCTCTGCTGCCCAGCTGCGTGCTGCATGGAAGCGGCGTACACCTGCATTTGGACCCCCCCAGCTGCCCAAGTTTTAGGGTTTAGGGTTTAGGGTTTAGGGCGCAGGGCTGAGAGAACAGCACCTCTACAGGAGGTCCTGTTCTAGAACAATACCCGTTAGCAACCCTAAACCCCAAGCCCTAAACCCTAAACCCTGACCCCCGAACCCTGAACCCTAAACCCGGCCCGGCGGCTCAAGCGTCGACGAAACACCTGAACTCTGTAGCCAAACGGCGGCTCGAAATGCCTACCCAAACACTAAGCCCTAGACCTCTAACCGCTAAGCCCCAAAATCCTACACCCTAACCCTAAACCCTAAATCCCTAACCCTGAACCCTAAACCCTGAACCCTGAAACCTTGAGGCGCCCCGCAGCCCCGCCCCGGTCTCACGGGAGCCTGCATCGCCGCGTCTCGTGCCAGCAGCACCGGCTTCGTGATGAGCCTTGAGAGGCTTCGGGTTTAGGGTAAACCCAAACCCTAAACCCTCAACCCTCAACCCTCAAACCCTAAACCCTCAATCCCTGAAGCCCACAGTGAATGTGAGACGGACGTGTGATTCACGTGTCGTGGGTTGAAGTGTCGTGAAAAAGTGGGAGAGGGGGCCAAGGCCTTGGATACTGCAAGTGCGATCACCACAGCAGGATCGCAACTGATACGAAGCTTAGACCATTTGACCTCTGAAAAGAAGATGGTGAGAGTAATTTCGTTAGATAGCTGCCTTCACTTGCATGTCCATGGGGCACTCCTTTGGCCACGATGCCCAGGATGTGTCCTCAAACCCTAAACCCTAAACCCTACACCCTAAATCCTAAACCTTAAACCCTAAACCCTAAACCCTACACCCTAAACCCTAAAGCCAAATTCTCACTTTGATGTTTCGCGTGTTGTGCAAACGTTTCTCCCTGGAGCTTGAGACGTGCCAGGGAGCTCTGCGGCCACTGAGAGGGACTGGCCGAAGTCAAACTCCGCCTCGGTAGGGTTTAGGGTTTAGGGTTTAGGGTTTAGGGTTTAGGGTTTAGGGTTTAGGGTTTAGGGTTTAGGGTTTAGGGTTTAGGGGTTAGGGTTTAGGGTTTGGGGTTAGGGTTTAGGGTTCAGGGTTCAGCGTTCAGGGTCTAGGGTTTAGGGTTTAGGGTTTAGGGCTTAGGGCGTAGGGTTTAGGGTTTAGGTTCAGGGTTCAGGGTTCAGGGTTCAGGGTTTAGGGTTTAGGGTTTAGGGGGTTTAGGGTTTAGGGTTTAGGGTTTAGGGTTTAGGGTTTAGGGTTTAGGGTTTAGGGTTTAGGGCTCAAGGGTTTAAGGTTCAGGGTTTAGGGCTTAGGGAGCAATCCCAAGACACCTTCAGGAAGGAATATCCGGCATCCTTAAACATCATGAGAAGGACCCCCAAAATGTCGAACGTATTCAACTGTTATATGCTTAAGAGCCCAAAGAAAATAGACGACAATCATCCCTATATTGCCCTTATAAGGAAGAATTTGTTATTTGCTGGGGGTGTTCTGAAGCAAATAGTAGTAAATCATGGGGTATTTGGAGGTCTTTACAGGTCCCCTATTTTTTGGGTTCAGGGTTTAGGGGTTTAGGGTTTAGGGTGTGCATGGGGTTTTGGCTTGAGGGTTTAGGGTTTAGGGTTTTTAGGGTTTAGGGTTTAGGGTTTAGGGTCCGCCGACTCTCCCTACACGCTTTTTTCGTGGAGGAGCAAGCAACTTGAAGGACCGTGGGAGCTGGGTGGGCATGCCCGCCCCCCCCCCCCCGGCAACAACCTCGTCACTGGCCATGATGACTTAGGCACCATCAATCTCGCTGGAGGTCAAGCAATCATGACAAATTGGGTTTTGCTCAGTCTCAGTAAATCACAAACATATACGCGACGGCAATCCCGTGAAATCAAGAGGGTAGCCGCTCTGGCCACGACGTCAAACATGCATCCTTGCGCAGCTTGTATAGAGAAGCAACAACGCTGTAAACACCAGTGTTTTGGCATGAGCCCTTGTTGACCGTGTGTTTTGTTCTAGAGAATCGTCAACCAGCCTTGCGCCGTATGTGGCGCAAAGAAACCAAATGCCTGTATCTACCAGTGCCTTGGGCATGTTCGTACATCCTTGCGCAGTGCGTTGTATAGAGAAGCAAAAACGCTGTAAATAGCAGCAACTTTGCATGTTCGCCAAAGGCATGAATGCTTGTGACCACGCGTCGGAGCCAAAATGCTGTAAATAATTACCTGTGTGTCAGGCCTGACTATGGACGTACATCATTGATCACCCCCCCTCCCCCCACCTCCCCCCACACCCCACAACAGGGAAACAGAGGATGCGCCCAGTGAACATCAAGCGTGGACACAACTACCCAGTAGTCCGTTCTCGTTTTAGCTGTAGCGCGTGGAGAGTAAAGAAGCCGGATAAGGCTGCGCAGCACCTCACTGCGACACTCGGCGGCCTTTCTTGGCCGCATCTTCGATGCCCTTACGCCAGCCCGGCTGGCCTTTTCCCATGGTTTGGGAACAATGGCCACAGGCGCCGGTCCAAGGCTCTACAGGAACACCCTGTTTCAAAAAACTGCGCCGGATCAAGAGGTCCCAGTGGCTATAGCACCCAGCACGTGCCGAGGCAGAACGCATGTGTTGCAAGGATTCCCCTGTGAAGACAATGCACTGGGAACTTTGCAGCTGCCACGCGCAGCATGGGCCAATTTTTTTGGTAAAGCCGGCGCGTCGCCACTGGCACCACCCACCGAACCGGAACCGTGGACCTTTGACCAACCTCAAAAGTCCATCCTCACTGGCTTCAGTCCGAGCGCCTGCTTCGAGAAACCAGACGGCGGTAGTCCTCTGACCTGCACGTTGCCGCTTTGTCAACAGCTCCTGGACCATCAAAAACCACCTGCGGTGGACCCCAATTTCGTCGGACATCAACGGCCTCCCCATGCGGCGGTCTTCATGGAGCTTGTAGCCATAGACAACGCCCTTAGGCACTTTCTGTTTTTCAACCACGCTTTGCCACCCATGCGCGCACCATGGTTGCGTCTATAACTCAGAATTACAAAGAGACATGAGTCGCGCGTTGACGGCCCGTAGTCGAGCCATTAATCGCCCTCGTCAACATGTTTGCGCTCATGCCTTTGCACTGTACCTTGCAAGACTTTTCAGTCCTGCCCAGAAGCTATGTACACTTGGCCCAGAGCATCGCTGGAAAATTGAGGGTGGCACGGGCTATCGGACCCGAAAAGGATGACTGACGCGAATGAAACATAAATCGGCATGATGCGGCGGATAAGTCTGTGCGCACACGCTGACCCAGTCGAGGATTGCACGCTGCTACCATGACAAGCTTCGGGCCCGACGGGCATTTAATGCGAATGGATCGACAGAAAAAGAGGATTGAATCGGCTTGATGGATGCCTGCTGCAACTCAACTACGCTGCACTAACATATATACACAGAGATATATGCATCGGCAGTTGGGGGACATTAGCCGTTACCAGTAGGACATGAAGGTAGCTACGCGCTTTCTCATCGTTTCCAGAGGGCTGCGAGCACGACGCTACCCTGATAGAGTCGAACGGGTGTAAATTTACACCCAAAACCAATTTACATCCAAAACGGTAATTTTCTTTACTGGTGTAAGAATTTTCTCACCCGAAATTTACACCCTTGGGTGTAAATTTGGGGTGTGATTTTTTTGAGCGCGCCAAAATACATTTTTATTTCTCCACACAAAAAACGTATACACTTTGGGGGCGCACAAAAAATGTATAAACTCTTTGGCGGGCACCAAAAAATGTTTGCATTGTTTAAGTGACCCCAAGAAAATGTATACACTTTTTTTGGGCGAAACAATATACACTGCCATTGTATAGATACCTGTATATATACATATGCTTCCCCCCCCCCCCCCCCCCGCAAAGATCTACCGTTTTTCCTACTGTTTATATACAGGATCCCTTCAACTTTATTCGGCTCCTCATGACAGGAGCACTTCCTGAACTGAGACCGAATACCTAAAGTACACGTTTCACCGTTTTAGTTACTTTTTATAGACAGTATCCCTTCAACTTTACTCGGCTCCTTATGACAAGGACCGTACCTAAACCGCACCTGCGTACTTCCCCCTGCCCTCTCCAAGACGCAGAAGTGAAGTGCCTGGACAAGGGGGTTTAGGGTTGGGGGGGTAAGGTTGGTGGACAGCACCCACCAGATCCTGCAATCCGAATAGTAGTAAGCCCACAGTGTTAGGCTTAGGGCTTGTGTCTTACGGGTTTAGGGACTATATCGTAAGGTTTAGATAGCTATTCAGGTGGTCTGAGTAACATCGCACTGGTCGTGTTTTCTCTTCGTGTCCGCAGCATTCACATGCATTCACCACTGGATAACTTCAGCTACGTTCTGTGCATACGGCAACATGTCTATAATTTCACGCAGATACTGTCTCGTCGCCGATGAAACTGGATCTCGAGCACAAACTGAACATTGCCCTGAGCACGTACTCTCACGCCAGTTATACGACTCACGGTGCGCGGCGCTAATGCGGATATCACTGTTCAACATACTGTACAACTTTCGGAGAAGTGAAACGGCAGCTACAGACCTGTGTCGTCCTCTACTGCAGCGACATATGATACGTGCACGTGGAACAGACCATGTCAATGTCACAGCCCTGGCAAGAATCTGCCAGAAGCGAAGCTCTCCCAGCAGCCCCATCTGTATCTCTATGTGGAAGCCCACATGTCGCGTAAGCGGCCAGTCGTAGTGGCTGTCGTGAAAGTCTCTGAGCTCGATTTCGACGGTTGTTACACGGGGCCCGTTGAACCAAGAGTGCTTCCCACAAGAGTAAAGCATGAGCTCGCGGATGGGAGGGTAACTCGGCTCGGCGGGTGACGGCATAAACCAAGGAGGAAGGTCTGAGGGCTCCGTAGGTACCAGTCTATGCGTGCTTGACTCATCGCCGTGGCTTCTATTTATCCCAGTGAAAGCGCCGATGGGCACTGAAACTGAGCGGGGACGAACATCTGAGCTGGTATCTCCGCGTCGAGGCGATCTGCTTCTGTCTCGCATAGTAGAGTCACCGACAGCTACAAGAGCTGATCGAGGTCGAACTGCTTCGGACGATGTAGCTGTGGTGAGTTCATATTCTTCGAGAGGAAGTGTACCGAAGTGGTGAAGCAAGCGACGCCGTGGATCACTGGCTGTAGTGACACGACGTGTCCCAGCCCCGATAGGCAGCACATCAGACGACATCAGCAAAATGCCAAGGTCCAGCGTTCGTTAAATTAGGGTCTAGAGGCAGAGGGTTTAAACACCAGTGAATTCATATGCCTGTGTATTCACATTATGGCCATCACATGACGTCCACAATTACACTCATACGAGGCAAGAGATGCACACCACGTCTATCTGAACTCTTAGTTGTGTTTCATAAACTTTCTGCCCAGCTTGAACCCTCATTTGCGGCCAAGCAAAGTCTGCAGAACATGCCGCAGTGCGTGCCGGCAGCGTACCTTGCAGGGTAATGTATGGGGGACGTTCTCAAACGTAATATCTATCATATTAGTTATTGCATACGATATATATATATATATATATGCACAATGTATGTATATCGCATCCTCTATTTATATACGGTACCCTCCCCATCTGGCATTATACATGAAGGAGAACAGTTCATTTTTTGTTTCGTTGGTACACGCATGTGAAAAGCTTGCGTTGTGTTTCGCAGATAACATGTGTGAGTCGTATGAACATGGCAGATGTCGTTTCATTTGTGAAATATAGTTTCTACGTAAAATGAGCATGATAGAGGTTGGTTCATTTTGTGCACAGTGTGCGCAAATACGTTTGGCTTCGCATGCATTGCAGACCTGTGTGTTTCCTTCTTGGTGAACATGTAATGCAGATCATGTTTGTGTTCGAGCGTCGCTCCCCAGACGTCCAGTCGGCATGAAGCTCAGCTCCCGTGCCGTCATATTCACAGCCGCGTCCTCCCTGGCATTCCCTTTCACGCAGCTTCCTCATGTAATCCTCGCCTGTCCAGCAAGCTGTGAAGCTTGGATGGATTTCTTCTGAATATATTCTCCCCCCCCCCCGCCCCCCGCCCCATCTTCACATTTTCACACAGTCCTTGAATTTCGGCGGCCCTTCCCTTCAATTTAGCCCTAAAATATGGTCTCAGGGTTTGCGGTGTGGTGCCTACTAAAGGTTTAGGCAGGGTTTGCCAGTCTGGGGTTTTGGGATTTGGGGCTTAGGGGTTGAGGGTCTGGAATGTAGGGTATGCGGGGCAACTGAGCCAGAGAGCCCATTTCAATTGAAAGATGGCGCCCCCCCGGAGTGCTGAACCCTAAGCCCAAGGGCCTAAACCCTAACCCACAACCCCAAGTGCTGGGGTCATGAGCCCAAACTCTCAGGAGATTGCGGGGAGGATACGCAGAACGGCCGTGACCACACAGCATCCCAACAGAAGACTGCGTTTGAAGGCTGGCTTCGTGCCCTTCCAGCCGACTCGACGTCATGTTCCGAGGAGTCATCCCTGAACCCTAAACCCTAAACCCTAAACCCTAAACCCTAAACCCTAAACCCTAAACCCCCAACCCTAAACCCTAAACTCTAAAGATTCAAAGGAGGTCGCGAAACGCCAGCTGGCCTGGTGCTGCTGCGGGCGAGCCTCCACGGACTCGGAATCCCCTTCTTGGGCTGCGGTTTTGGCCTTGTCCTTTCCTTCTTGGGCTGTGTGTCTCTCCCTGAACCCCAAGCCAGCTACCCTGAGCCCTACGTAAGCCCCCCAAACGCACAACCCTAAGCAAGCCTAAACCCCAAGCCCTAAGCCGTTCAGGGCTTTCTGCAAGGGTTTACGGTTTAGGGTTTAGGGTTGGGGGTTTAGAGTTTAGGGTTTAGGGATTTAGGGTTTAGGGTTACCCCAAAACTGGAACCTGACATAGAGAACCACCCACATGTAGACCTCTCGACCCCCGAAGCCCCAAAACCCTCTACGCCTGCTCCCAAACAAACATATGCACCCAAGCATCACTCTTCTTGTTGAGCGCGTCGTCCCAGTCTTTGATTCCGAACCTTCTAGGGCACAGGGTCTGGGGGTTCTCAAGGGATCCCTATAAAACCCTAAACCCTAAACCCTAAACTCTAAACCCTAAACCCTAAACCCTAAACCCTAAACCCGCGTTTCTTGAATTTAGGGCTTACGGCTTAGGGCTTTCGCTGCGAGTGCGCTTCGACCAACTCCATGAAGTGGTTTGGGGTCGGCACTCCCGGGCTACACTAGGAGTATATGATAAGGAGGGCCCCTAGAAGGGACTCTTATTCTTATTCCCCCTGTGTAACCCATATTAGCCCCTATATCTATATCTATATCTATAGATATATCTATATCTATAGATATAACTATATATATACACCGTATATATATATATATATATATATATATATAGAGCCCCCCTTTTAAGGGTACAACCTTAGGGGTACGAGTCCGAATCCCTGGATTCTGAAAGCCCTGAAGTGCAGGCAAAGCCACCGGGGGTTGTCTAAGTGGCTGTCCTCATGTCGGGGGGATAGGGCTTCGGGATTTTGGGGGTTTAGGGTTTAGGGTTTAGGGTTTAGGGTTTAGGGTTTAGGGTTTAGGGTTTAGGGTTTAGGGTTTAGGGTTTAGGGTTTAGGGTTTCGGGATTCAGGGCTTAGGGTTTTGGGGGGCTTAGGGGCTGAGGATTGGGGCTTAGGACAAAACATTCACAACTCGATGGGCTGCAGATCGCCAGAAGCAGATTGGGGCCGACAGGACATCCAAAGTTGGCTCCGAATCAAGCTCTCAATGTTGAGCCTTTAGGTTTTAGGGACTGGGGCTTACAACACTCCCGCGAACTAGGGAACCCGACCCCCCCAAATGATGAAGCTTCACGATCGGAAAGGTAAGTGTCGATGTAGAAGTCGCAAAGCGTCATCGCATCGAAGATGGGCCTGGTTTGGGATGGTAAGGTTTCGGGTTTAGGGTGTAGGGTGTAGGGTTTAGGGTGTAGGGTGTGGGGTTTAGGCTTTAGGGTTTAGGGTTTAGGGTTTAGGGTTTAGGGCTTAGGGCTCAGGGTTGAGGGTTTAGGGTTCAGGCTCAAGGGCTTCATCTTCACTCCGAAGCTGAACCCCTTATGCCTGCAACACCTGAGGAAGTTACATGGTCCCGTGGTATGGGGCCCTTAAACGGGAACCCCCTTTATCTACCGCTGAAAAACCCTAAAGAACCCGAGAGCCCATACTTCAGAACCCCTTTGCAGGAGGTGAGAGACCAAGGGACCGTCTGGCCTCCCTTAGACAATGGCCCCCTAGACGGGACTGTCAGCTTGCTCCCCTCCCCCCCCCCCCCGTCTCCTCGCAAGCCACCACTGCGTTCTTGTTAAGGGAGTTAGCTTAAGTTACCATCATAAGGAAACCGCATTTCTGAACAGTTCCTGAACAACCCCTAAACCCTAAACCCTAAACCCTAAACCATGTTACAGCAATTTGATGCACGTAGGTGCTGGGAACGTAAGTACCAAGCCGCCTCCTTGCCCAAGGGGAACCTCCACACGAGAAGTGTCCACGATCATGGGGTCTGCGTGCCCTTCTTCAAAAGCACACGGACACCACAAAGTGCAAGAACCAGTGCAGGAACTGCTTGAAAAAAAACACCTGAAACCCTAAACCCTAAACCCGAAATCCTAAACCCTAAACGCCCGGTGCCCTAAGACTTTCAGCCGCAACAGACCTAGACTAAACCCCAAACCTTGAGCCTCAAATTCCAATGACCCTAAAACCCTAAACCCTACACCCTAAACCCTAGACCCTAAAACCCCAAACCCTAAACCCTAAACCCTAAACCCTAAACCCTAAACCCTAAACCCTAAACCCTAAACCCTAAACCCTAAACCCTAAACCCTAAACCCTAAACCCTAAACCCTACACGCTCCTGCCGGTAGCTTTGCGGAGGGCATCGGCGTAACGAGGCAACTCATTGCTCTCCAAAAGAAAGGCCCTGACCTCAACAGGGGGTTTAGGGTTTAGGGTTTAGGGTTTAGGGTTTAGGGTTTAGGGTTTAGGGTTTAGGGTTTAGGGTTTAGGGTTTAGGGTTTAGGGTTTAGGGTTTACCGACCTCAAAATGGAACCTCTGGGGCGGTTTTTGGGCTTGGACTTGAGACTACGCTGGAATCATACTGAATCAGTGTTTAGGGTTTAGGGTTTAGGGTTTAGGGTTTAGGGTTTAGGGTTAGGGGTACTGGCTCAGGGGTTGGGGCTTGAGCCTCAGATCATTTGGGGTGGGGGGGGGGGGATTCTCTTGGGCATTTTTTGTTGGTACCCAGAAGCCCTTAGCCCTAACCCCTGAACCATCAGCCTCCGTATTATGATCGGAAGCCCCCCAAACAGGCCGCAACTCCCTAACCCTAAACCCTAAACCCTAAACCCTAAACCCTAAACCCTAAACCCTAAACCCTAAACCCTAAACTCCCTAACCCTTCATGTGCCTTCGGGTGCTGCTCCAGAACTTCCGCAGCCTTCTTGCAGAGGCCAGCTTCCATTGTGCGTGAGTCTCCCTGGGGAGCAGCGGGTGTCAGCACTTGGTTTAGGGTTTAGGGTTTAGGGTTTAGGGTTTAGGGTTTAGGGTTTAGGGCTTAGGGTTTAGGGTTTAGGGTTTAGGTTTTAGGGTTTAGGGTTTAGGGTTTAGGGTTTAGGGACTTGAGCACCACAAAAGGTTGGAGGATTCGAGCATCATCCGCAAGCATCCAACACCACAGAGCACAGGAGAAGCACAATATCCCTAAACCCTAAACCCTAAACCCTAAACCCTAAACCCTAAACCCTAAACCCTAAACCCTAAACCCTAAACCCTAAACAAGATGAATCTGGCTCAGCTGCATGTTGTCCCAGCGCAACAGACTCGAAGCCAGGTATCTCCTCGCAGCCCACGAAGACGTAGCGATTATCCTGCGAGCTGAACCCTAAGCCCTAAACTCCAAACCCTACACCCTAAACCCTCCCCAAACCCTAAACCCTAAACCCTAAACCCTAAACCCTAAACCCTAAACCCTAAACCCTAAACCCTAAACCCTCATCCTCCAAGCTGACGCCGCATTCCGCCCGGAGAAGTTCGGCCATGGACTGCAGCACCTTGAGGTTGGCTGTGAAGATGGCGACCTGCTCATCCTTACCTCAGCTTAAGGTTTAGGATTTAGGGTTTAGGGTTTTGGGTTTAGGGTTTAGGGCTTAGGGTTTAGGGTTGGTTGAGGGTTTAGGGTTTAGGGTGTAGGGTTTAGGGTTTAGGGTTTAGCGTTTAGGGTTTCGGGTTTCGGGTTTCGGGTTTCGGGTTTCGGGTTTTGGGTTTCGGGTTTGGGCTTTGGGGTTTAGGGTTTAGGGTTTAGGGTGTAGGGTTTAGGGTTTAGGGTTTGGGGCTTGCTAGCTTTAAGCCTTAAGCTTCCATCCCCGGCGAAGGCATCCCCGGGTCTCAGACCTGAAAGTACTCTAAACCATAAACCCCCAAAGGCAACTTTTAACCCCCCCCCCCTTCTACCCTTTCCCCCGCAACCGACAGTTCAATCTGAATCGGGGCGGATGCCTGGATCCTGCCTACGGGTTGGGAAGACCCGGCGCTGGAGCTTTCAAGACGAGGACCCCGAGAAGCTGCAGTCCTCACCCGAAACCCGAAACCCTAAACCCTAAACCCTCAAGGTCAGGATAAAGAGAAGTTGCTCCTTCATCCTTCACAATGAAAAAATCGGACAAAAGCATGGCTTTCAGGCACCAAAAGAGATCCTGAATAGCGAAAGAAAGCCCCCGAAAAAGGCACCGGGAAGCCCCAAAAGGCACGGGAGACCCCCAAAAGGCACCCGGGAGGCCCCAAAAAACAACCAAAAGGCCCTAACACTCACAACCCGACACCAAAAAAACAGGCTCCGGAGGCCTTCTGTCCCAAAGCCAAACTGGCCAAAGCAAGAAGCAAAACCCCCAAAACCCTGCCAAAACCCGGCATACATTTTGAGCTGAAACGAGCAGTAAGCTAGAGAACAGGCGGGAAGCAGGCGGGGCGAGGAAACGGGGCCGGGAGGTGAGCAAAAGCAGAGCCGAGCGAGTGGAGTGGGCTAGGCAGGTGGGGCGAGTAAGTCAAAAGCCCTGTCTCCACAGCAGGTGGGGCAAACGGGTGGCGGGGGGAAAACGGGTGGGGCCAACAGGTGTGGCGAGCAAAAGCAAAAGCTTTAATGCCTTTAACCGGGCGAGCACTAGTCTCGTAGTTATTTTCTTTGTAGCTTAGAGGACCAACAAAGGCCCATGAGGGGTTTAGAGCTTCAGGGCTTCTTATCCTTCCATGCAACCCTAAACCCCAAACCCCAAACCCAAAACCCCAAACCCCAAACCCCAAACCTCAAACCCCAAGCCCCAAACCCCAAACCCCAAACCACCAAACCCTAAACCCTAAACCCTAAACCCTAAACCCTAAACCCTAAACCCTAAACCCTAAACCCTAAACCCTAACCCACCCCCACCCCCCACTCAAAAGAGGGCGTAGCTGCTGTAGGAGCAGGTGATCGCGGGCAGGCTGGCAAGAGAGCTGAGAATGACCGGCAGTTGAGTGTTCTGGCGAGCAAGCGGCTGGTGCCACATCATGAAGCCCGTGTCCTTGGGGGTTTAGGGTGTGTGGTTTAGGGTTTAGGGTTTAGGGTTTCGGGTTTCGGGTTTCGGGTTTAGGTTTAGGGTTTAGGGTTCCGAGATTAGGGGTGAGGGCTCCTGCCACGCCTTAACAACTCCTCAAGCCCTGGGCCAGGACCCAGCGACCCAAAACCCCGAAGCACAAAAATCCCAAAAAGCCCTCTGAGTGTGCTTGAAAACGCTGCTAAGACTCAGAATGGCAGCTGCTTCTTAGGGGTTCTTACAAACAGCCATCGCTTCCGGGAATCTCGAACCAAGTCGAACCCTCAACCCCAAAACCCAAAACCCCAAACCCTAAACCCTAAACCCTAAACCGTAAAACCATGAAGCCCCTAAAGCTCGGGGGGCCTCTCAGGCCCCTAAACTTGTGAGAGTGCCGATCCTGTGTCACAACCCTTCAACCCCTGGACCCTTCAAGCCCTAGACCCTCAACCCCCATGAACCCCCAAAAACCTTAAACCCCCCCAAAACCCGAAACCCTCAACCCCTAAACCCCCAAAAACTTTCCCCCCCAAACCCTAAACCCTAAACCCCAAACCCTAAACCCTAAACCCCTAAACCCCCCAAACAGATCCCGGCATCTCCCGTGATGACACTGGCGCCCTTCGAGTTCAAGTCCGCGAGGCCTTTTTTGAACTGCTCCTCCAGCGGTTTAGGGTTCAGGGTAAGGGTTTCGGGTTTGGGGTTTCGGGTTTAGAGTTCTAGGGTTTAGGGTTGAGGATTTGGGGTTCTGGGCTTGAAGGTTCAGGGTTTAGGGTTTGGGGCTTGGGGTTCTATCAGGTTCTACGGTTTGGGGTTCAGGACTGAGGGTTTTTTGCTTCGGGCTCTAGGCTTCAGGGTTGGGGGCTCTAGGGTTTGGAGCTTTGAAAGTTGCGAGGGCGCTAGGGATTGGGGGTTCAAGGGCGTGAAGGGATGGAGCATTTAGGGTTCTAGCGTTCTAGGGTTTCCGGCTCAGACACTCCAAAGACCCCGTAACCTAAGTCCTCTATATTGGTTATACATGACGGTACATGTGGCATCAAGGGCTACAAGTCCGGGGGTTCAGGGCTTGGGGCTTAAGTGCCTCAAACGCACAGGAACGTGCCTTTAAAATAAACCCTAAACCCTAAACCCTAAAACCCTAAACCCTAAACCCTAAACCCTAAACCCTAAACCCTAAACCCTAAACCCTAAACCCAGGCCCCGTCCGGAGTATCGGGTTAAGGCTCTTTTGGCACTTAAAACTACAGGGACCATACTATCATCTAAGGGTAGTTACATGGTCCCTTAATATGGGCCCTTTAAAGGGGACCCCTTATATACCCCTTATATACCCTCTAAAACCCCAAGGGCCCCAGACATCAGAACCCTTTAAAGGAGGTAAGGGACCGCATGCAGGGGCCCATATAACTACCCGTGGAAATCAACGAGACCAACAGAGAGAGGCTAAACCTAAACCCTAAACCCTGAACCCTGAACCCTAAACCCTAAACCCCAAACCCTAACCCCGGCCTGGATGTCCGCGCCCAGCGGCGCACCCGACTGGCACAGCTCCGGTGTGAGCCCGGTCACGATGCGGTGCTTCACCTGCAGGTGAGGGTTTACGGTTTAGGGTTTAGGGTTTCGGGTTTAGGGTTTAGGGTTTAGGGTTCAGGGCTTTGGGATATTGTCGGGGCAGGTGTAGGATTTCGGGTCACGACTCCGATTCCCGAAGCCCTAAGGCCGAAAGCGAAACCCTCGAAACCCGGCAGAGAACAGATCTGATTTCTTGTCACAAGGGTTTTGGGTTCAGGGTTAAGTCCTGTACCCCCAAGCCTTAGACACCTGAATTCCCCAAACCACCCAAACTCCAACACCCTCAACTCCACCCGAACTCCAAAAGAAACCAACAATGCCCGAATTCCACAGTGCAAACCTTCTAAACCCTAAACCCTAAACCCTAAAGGCCTCATAGTCAAAGCTGCCCGGGTGGTCGAAGCTTCCCGGAATCCTCAGCTTCGGGAGAAGCTTTTGAGGGCTTTCAGGTCTTAGGGGGTTTAGGGTTGTAGGGTTTAGGGTTTAGGGTTTAGGGTTTAGGGTTTAGCATTTAGCGTTTAGGGTTTAGCATTTAGCGTTTAGGGTTTAGGGTTTCCCTCTCCACCCCCACAATGCGGCGTAGCAGCGGGCCAGGAACTTTTCGGTCGAGGCGGAGGATACCAAGCACCGGGACCTTCGCCTGGCATGGGGTTTTGTCTGAGGGAGGTTATGTGGTCCCTTGAGATGGGTCCCATTCTTAAGGGCAGTTTTAGGATTTAGGGTTAGGGTTTAGGGTTTAGGGTAGATATATGGTCCCTGAATATTATGGTCCTCTACCTTCTTCAAAGGTGTTCTGATCTGTGGACCCTTGGTTTCTAGAGGGTATTTTCGTGGTATATTTGGGGTCCCCCATTTAAGGGCCCATACTAAAGGATCATGTAACTACCCTTAGGAGTTTAGAGGTGTAGAGGCGTAGAGGTTTAGGGGTTCAGGGTTTGGGGGTTAGAGGTTTAGCGAGATTCGGGTTTGGGGTTTATATACAGTTTAGGGTTTAGGGTTTAAGTACAGTTTAGGGTTTTGGGTTTCGGAGGTTTAGGGCTTAGGTTGTAGGGGCTTGGGAATGTTTAGGGTTTGGTGGGCTGCGGAATGCGTAGGAATGTTCAGAGTTTTGGAGATTCAAAGGCTTATTGCACCCCCCCAAAAAAAAAAAGTTTAGGGGTTTAGGCGTGTAGTAGGGATGGCTTAACCCTAAACCTCAAAAATCAAAATGCTTAAACCCTAAATCGTTAGGGTTGGAGGCGCAGTGTCTGAGGATGCACACCTGGGCTTTAGGGTTTAGGGTTTAGGGTTTAGGGTTTAGGGTTTAGGGTTTGGGGTTTAGGGTTTAGGGTCCGCCGACCCTGGCGGCGTGTTGGATGGGAAAAGGAGGTGAAACCTCCCTCTTTCCCAAACGCGGGGGGGGGGGGGGGGGGGGGGGGGGGGGGGGGTGGGGGGGGTCGTTCGTCCGCACCCCCCCCCCCACCCCCCCCCCCCCCCCCCACCCCCCCCCCCCCCCCCCCCCCCCCCACCCCCCCCCCCCCACCCCCCCCCCCCCCCCCCAACCCCCCCCCCCCCCCCCCCCCCCCCCCCCCCCCCCCCACCCCCCCCCCCCCCCTACCCCCCACCCCCCTCCCCCCCCACCCCCCCCCACCTGTCTTTTTGGCTTGAGCTTGTCCTGGTGCTACCCCCTACCCCCCCCCAAACGATTCACAGAACTCTGCCTAAAATCTTCCATGCGAGCGGGTCTCAACTATGCTCCAGCGGGGTCGGCGGCTTGAGCCGGAGGCTCTTAAATTTAGGGTTTAGGGTTTAGGGTTTAGTCCTGGACGGAGGTCCCAGGAGGCATGGAGTCTGAGGGGTTGGCCATGGCTTGTAGAGCTCACTCGAATTTCCCTTTTCCACAACAGCAACGACACGAAATCCTTGGTCTTACTCGTTCAGGTGCTATACCTGCGATGCCTGGTACATGTAAAAACTGCGTCTGCGTGCCCACACCGGGCCATGTGTTTCCTTGCCCTTCACGGGCCTCGTTGTTGCCCTTCACCAGGCTTGGACCGCTTGACAGCGACATGCACCCTCTTCTTCCCGGAAAAACGTGAGCACACCAGCACTCCTCCTCGCCTTGTGGGCTCGCTGCCCACTAGGTGTCTCATTCGGGGTGCTCAATGTCCATCATGTCGGCGTAGCAGAGCATCATTGAAAGGTCTACGGTAGTACAAGGGGTAGCGCTCCAAACAAAACGAACAAACCTGGTACTCCGTCACGCGCGACCGGACTTCCCTCATTCCACGGCACAAGTGCACCTTTTCTCCACGTTCAGACTTGTAGAAGACACCTGTGAAGAGCTCGAAGTCGTACTCGGGGCTCTGCCTCGTACGAGGCGGGTCGGGCACTTGGCCCACTTGTGTTTCCTCGGCAACCGCCGTGGTTGTCCGAGCTGGCTCCACATTTTCCACCAATCGTGTAGTTGGCGCAGTAGCTGACGACGACGATGACATAGCCACAGGGGAGCCCTGACTCACAGGAGGCGAGGACTGCACCTCTTCCGCCCGCAATCCCATCAGCTCCTCTTGAAGGGCTCTCGTTGTCTGATCTCGGATTCGCAGAAGTCTCCGGGCCCTTCGGACTGTAGCCTCATCACTACCACAGCATCTTCCAAGGCACCACTTCATCACCTCCCAGATTCCAATCATCGCCACACCACAAAGCACCATCAAGCCATAGAACTCGATTCCAGCGTCGTAGGGCAGAGGGTCCTTCTTAGGCTCCTGGGGCAGCTTTGCTCCCTGCGTGCCCTTTACCAAGGCACATACCACCAACATCATCATGATCCTCATCTGGTTGAAGCGAACCTCCGACTCCGGCACCTTGATCCCATTCAGGATCACCTCCTTCGGGCCCTCCAGGAACTCTCCAACTGTCATCATCTTCCAAAGAACACGAAGATCACGCAGTCGTGGTGCAGGAACTGCCTTCGTTCCCATGTCCGCCGCCTGCACCTCCCCCGGGGAGTGCTTCAGCTCCAGACGCCCCGACGCTGTCTCCTGACGCAGGAATCGCGCCCGTATCCTAAGGTGACGTGTCTTCCAGCTTCCTGGGGAACTTGACGCGAGCCCCAGTGCCGCCAGGTTGTCGATCAACATGGTGACGTCCACCTTCGGATGAATCTCCTTGATCCACTCCTTGATGCTCATGGCTTGCTGGTAGGCATTGATGACCTCATACAACTCCGCCTCCGCCACCGAGAGAGATATCACGGGTTGTCGCGCCATTCTCCAAGCCACAAACCCTCCATGCAACATCGTCGCAGCACATCCGAAGCTGCGTCCGCCTCCCGGCGCATAGCTGGCGTCTGAATAAGCCAGCACAGTCGGTCCTGTGCCATCGTAGGTCAAGCCGAGGTCCACGGTGTCACGAAGATAGCG